AGTACTTTGGTATCTCTTCATTCTCTAAGCCCCTCTCTCAGCAAGGGTACTCCCATTTTCTCACAGGGCACTTCCTGCTGCAGTACCTAATTCTAACTTTGTTTTACTGTAACTCAACTAAAGTAGGAAAGATTTCCACTTTATAGTTATTAGCTGTTCATGTGTTTTTAAAATAAGTTTGTATTAAATAAATGTTCAGCAAGGAGCCAAATTTTTAAAAAGCATTATTCGGCCAGGTGCGGTGGTTCATGCCTGTAATTCCAGCACTTAGGGAGGCCAAGGCAGGCAGATCAAGACGTCAGGAGTTTGAGACTAGCCTGGCCAATATGGTGAAACCTCGTCTCTACTAAAAATACAAAAAAACATTACCCGAGCATGGTGACACATGCCTGTAGTCCCAGCTACTTGGGAGGTGGAGGCAGAAGAATCGCTTGAATGCAGGAGGCAGAGGTTGCAGTGAGCTGAGATCGTGCCACTGCACTCCAGCCTGGGAGACAGAGTCTTACTGGAAAAAAAGGCATTTTTCCAGTAAGTCTAGTTCTATAAATGTTTCAGTGTCAAGTTTTTTCTATTTGCTGTTGGTCTACTGTTCATTATATTCAGAACAATAGCCTTAACTTTCCCTATCCTTCTTTTTATACATTTACTAGAAGTGCAGGACCATGCCTTTCATGAGTCCTTATTCTTTTTTTTTTTTTTTAAACTCTTTGCCTCTTCTGCTCTCCTTGAGGAATGAGTTCTTATTCTCTATGTCAACTCTTCTATCCCTTGGAGGCTTGAAAAACATCATCGTATGATACTTGGAATTTTTTTCCTTAGTGCTTCTTAGCTACTGCTGAGATTACAGGTGGGTGCTACCACGCCCAGCTAATTTTTGTATTTTTTTTTTTTTTTTTGAGACGGAGTTTCGCTCTTGTTGCCCAGGCTGGAGTGCAATGGCGCAATCTCGGCTCACCGCAACCTCCACCTCCTGGGTTCAGGCAATTCTCCTGCCTCAGCCTCCTGAGTAGCTGGGATTACAGGCACGCGCCACTATGCCCAGCTAATTTTTTGTATTTTTAGTAGAGACGGGGTTTCACCTTTTTGACCAGGATGGTCTCGATCTTTTGACCTTGTGATCCACCCGCCTCGGCCTCCCAAAGTGCTGGGATTACAGGCTTGAGCCACCGCACCCGGCCCAATTTTTGTATTTTTAGGAGAGACAGAGTTTCACCATGTGGCCAGGCTGGTCTCGAACTCCTGATCTCTGAAGATCCGCCCACCTTGACCTCCCAAAGTGTTGGGATTATAGATGTGAGCCACTGCACCCAGACTGTGAATAAGGATTTTCATATCAAACCAAGCCTTTTTGTCTATTGCTTGTCCTTTTTCCTTCCTCCAAAGTCTTACAGCACCCATGAGTTGGCATCCTCATACAGGAGGCTCTTGAGCTACCAGTCACATGAGAATGAAGGCAAGAAAAGAAAGGACCAGATGGCATCAAAAGATATGCCTTTCTAGGTCACTGGTGGTTAAGCTTACAGTCTGGTTACCAACAGGGAGACTATAGGGGAAAGGGTGGAGAGCAGCACCATTGCAAGGGGAGAATAATTTTGCCATACAATTCCTCTTCCAAGAATTTGCGGGAGAGAAAAATCTTCCACGTTGAGGAGAATGGATTTTCTGATTTAACTCTTTCCACCTTACAATTACAGGGCATCTGTTGCTCTTGGAAGAGTATGTTTACCTAAGTGGCATCTAAGCACCTGTGGTAAATGTGTGCATTATTTGGATGGGACTCTCCCTCTTGGTCAGCTGCTATTCTTCAACTGCCATTAACCATTTGTTATTCTACTCTCCAAATGCCTGTTTCATTTAAATAAAAACCTTAAGGAAATGACATTTATCTTCCACAAGTACACCCGTCTCCACAAGAGCAGAGGAAATAATTCACTGCTCATCCTTCATATTAACATCAATTATGGAGGACTGTATTTACAAAACATGAAGAATGGCATCACTGGCCTTTGTGAGATATCTCGGTATATTTTCTTGGTGTAAGTTGTGTTTCAGAGCAGATGAGTAATTATTTGACTGAAGAAATGTTCAGTAGTGGCTAAATAAAAAATATCTTTTAGGGCATTCTGCCTTCCCTGTTAATTTAGGCATTTTTCAAACCTTGGTCTGGGAATGTCCTGATTTGTTAGTGTTATGCAAATCCTCAGAACTAGCTGTTATTTCCTTATGGAATTCCAGTTCAGGTGTGTTCCCTTGAAGGAGAGAAGGCATTTTAAATTTTACATTTAAACTTGGTCCCAATTTCTACATTTAAGTCCTTTTAAAATTACCTAGAAAATCCTCGCTTTTTCATAGACACATTCAATATTCTTCAAGTCCAAAGTCGAATTGCAACCTCTTTTACAAGTCTACCTCCTCCAATTACAATCTCTCCATTTATTCAGATTCTGTTGTCCTTGATATCTGTGTGACTCATTCAGTATGGACCAAATGAGACAAAACAGTATGTTTCATTCTGTAGTCTAAACTCTTAAAGTTAACATTTCTTTTTTACTTTTCCTTCTCAAGCTTCTGGAAAAGTGCTGAGTACGTAAAAGTCATGTAATAAATACATGGAATGATTAAAGAGAGAAAAAGATATTTTAACATGTTATTTTCATTCTAGGTTTTAGCAAGTATCACAAAACAAAAAATAGACCCACCTTTCTTTTCCTTGATGTGAAACTTTATGGAATCATTTTGAAGTTCCTTTTTTTCTTCCCCTGAGGCAGTGTTTCACCCTGTGGGCCAGGTAGAATGCAGTGGCACCATCTCAGCTCACTGCAACCTCTGCCTCCTGGGTTCAAGCGATTGTCATGCCTTGGCCTCGGCCTCCGGAGTAGCTGGGATTATAGGCATGCCCCACCATGCCCGGCTAATTTTTATATTTTTAGTAGAGGTGGGGTTTTGCTATGTTGGCCAGGCTGGTCTTGAACTCTTGGCCTCAAACAATCTGCCCACCTCGGTCTATCAAAATGCTGGGATTACAAGCATGAGCCACCTGTCCAGCCCATTTTGAAGTTTTTTAAAAAATAAAAAATAAAAAATAATTCTTATATATACTGAAGTTTTGGAGTTAAGTAATTTGAACAAAATAGATAAGGTCTTTTTGCAGTAAGGTGCTTGTTAACTTTATTAGTTGCTTTGTTGACTTTTTTAGAAGACTGAATTTAAAGCTGGAATGTCTAATTATTAGTGTAACCTCCAGTCTTTTTTCCATGCTTCAGTCAGATCATATGAGTACTGTTATCATATGCCAAAATGATCTTAATGAAGAGTTTAAAGACACTTTTTACTCTGATGTTTTGTTGTTGCTGTTTGTTTGCTTTTTTGGTCTGCTGCACAGGAGCACTGTGATCACTTGAGAATTGTCACCTAAGAAATTTTCCAGTTAAAAATGAACATTTTGCTAAAGGTTCAATGCATTTGGGTAGGATAGTAGGGGAGGAAAGTGACTTTGAAGTTGTTAAATATCATTAAGGAGAATCCATGGATATACTTTTAATTGAGGGATTCCTTTATCCACATTAGTTATGTCAGGTTTCAGCCTGGACCCAATTATTAGACTTGAGGTATTGAACTCAATCAAGAAATTTGGAATGGAAATACTGTCAGACCTTTAACTATAGTTGGGTTAGTAGGTGCTGAAAGAATCTTAACAATTCATCAGCCAAACCTCTGACCTCACTACCCTTAATCATCCTTGCTTGTCATGACATAATTGGCTGCTTATTGCCTTCTCCTACCCTCTTTCAAATTCCTAGCCTTTGAGCATTTCACTTGACATTATTTCTTGTCTTTTAAGACAGAGAAAGTGCATAGTTTGGTGTGTGAATTAGCAAAACCATTTTGGTCCTCTTTCAGAAGAAAATGGAGGGTGTGTATTTTGTTCTTGATGCAGTTAAGACAGTTACTAAAAGTTTGATTATAGGTCTTTAAGGAGTTAGGGGTAAACTGTGAACATATTTGTGAATTTTCTGTTCAGATACACTGTTAACTGCTGAATTATTCCTTGTGAAAGATGTAGAGTAGTATTGTTTTAGGATGAAGTTAAATACTGAGAACTCTCTCGTCACTATGATCATAGTTCTTTTAGGGCACAGGAAAGGTAAATCCAGGAGGTTGAGGAGAAATTTCCTTCAACTTTCCCACAGGAAGGGTAGATTAGAGAATGCAATGAATTTCAGTAAAGAATTTTTGTCACCTGTTGTCCTTGTCGACTGGAGGCAGGTGGAGAGAGAAGAGAAAAATAAATATTAAGCTAATAAGCTAGTACAGTTAAGAGGCAGGGGATTATTTTATGAGTTATTTCTGTGCCTAGAGTTGACCATAGGGCATATATTTTGTCTAACCCTACCCTAGCTGGCCACAACAGAATTTTGCTGTTTCTGTGGAGTATAAGAAATCACCATTTTTATAAGTGAAAAATGGGTGAATATCAGAAATTTCATATGGTTCAACCTAATATACAACAAATGTAACACTGTAGGATGGCTACAGTTGTAGAGAGGTAGGTTGTGTATGTGTGTGTTGTGTGTGCAAGTAAAAGGTAGGAGGGAGGAAATAGAAACTTAAGAGCATTTTATACTCCCTTGAGGTACTACAGCTGAAAACCCCTCCTCTTGCCTATGGTTTTATTCAAGATTAAATTGTCCTGGTATGTTTACACACTTCCATATTAATATAGTTGAGACAGTTTATGGGGTGAGTTAAAAAATAAACCATCTTGACAGAGATTACCATTGGGGATAATAATCTAAAGTGACTGTTGTCTACAGAGTACAACAGAAATAGCAGACTGAAATGCAGCCACCCCCTACACTTGCGGATTCTTCGAAAGTGGAGAATTAGGGGTGTAACATCCACCCTATAGGCTGAATAAATGCAAATTATTTATCTGAAAATAGGTTTTATGATATTTCTAGTGGAATATCCAGATTGTGTTGACTTTTTGTCTTTCTTAGACGAGCTCATCTGCGCCTTTGTTTAGAACGCTTAAAAGTTCTGATTCCACTAGGACCAGACTGCACCAGGCACACAACACTTGGTTTGCTCAACAAAGCCAAAGCACACATCAAGGTGAGAATTTTTACTTTCAGATTTGCATAATTCACTCAGTTCTGGTTTAATTATTGGCAGTGATTCCTATTCATATACATCAGCTAGTTCACCATGCCCTCCTTAATAAATGACCTCAAGAGAAATCTTTCTAAAAACTTATCAGCTAATCTGATGGGAACAACATAACCTGATTAAACTGTTTTGACAACGTGGCCATTTGAAGAGCTGGGAACACCAGGAAAATAACAATTACCTTCTTCATACTCAGAAGGAAGGCAGTTGTGCCCTCTGGTGGAGATGACTTCATTTGGCTGTGTCCTTCAGTATTTTTCCATCAAATACCACACAGAGGAAGTTTCTCCGTGGAGATTAGTTTACAGGCTTTTAGAAGTCCATCTTGTTCAAGTAGCATAGCATGCATTACGTACACAGAAAAGGAAAAGACAGAACTATATTTTATTTTTAAAAATATGTATTTATATACATTCACATTTTGGAGGCTTTAAACAATGTGTATATTTTACACACACACACACACACACAATTTGTGTATATTCATTCATGTTTTCTCTGCCAAAGAAGGAATCAGTTTTATTGTTTGTACTGGACTATACACAAATGTAAATACCATTTCATTTCAGAAACTTGAAGAAGCTGAAAGGAAGAGCCAGCACCAGCTCGAGAACTTGGAACGAGAACAGAGATTTTTAAAGCGGCGACTGGAACAGCTGCAGGGTCCTCAGGAGATGGAACGAATACGAATGGACAGCATTGGATCAACTATTTCTTCAGATCGTTCTGATTCAGAGCGAGGTAGGCAGCTTGCCTCTTCTATAATGGAATACTAAATACCTCTGTATCTGGAGATATAATGAAATACTAAATATCTCTGTAGGTGGTATGTTGGGAGGCACTGTATTTACTTTCTTTCTAGCCAACTGTAATATTCTAGGTTTTATGCAATCATAATATTGTCTAGCAGTGCCAGTGTGGACTATAAAACTGTTTTTTTGAATACATATATATACACACACACACACACACATATATATGTATGTATATGTGTGTATATATATGTGTGTGTGTGTGTGTGTATATATATGATGCAGTTAAGACAGTTACTAAAAGTTCAATTACAGGTCTTTAAGGAGTAGGGGTAAACTGTGAACATATTTGTGGATTTTCTGTTCAGATACACTGTTAACTGCTGAATTATGCCTTGTGAAAGATGTGGAGTAGTATTGTTTTTAAGATGAAGTTGAATACTCAGAACTCGCTCATCACTATGATCATAGTTCTTTCAGGGCACAGGGAAGGTAAATCCATGAGGTTGAGGAGAAATTTCCCTCAAAATGTTTATTTTTTTAACTTTCTATTTTGAGATAATTTCGGACTTACAGAAAATTTTAAGTTTCCTATAGAAAATTATAGAGTTCTCATGTAACTCTTCACCCAGCTTCTCCTAAAATTAACATCTTATATAACCACAATACAATTATTGAAACCGGCAAATTAACATTGATAGAGTACTATTAAGTAATCTACAGATTCTATTCAAATTTTACCAGTTTCCCCACCAACATACTTTGTCTGGTCTAGGATCCTATGCAGGATCCCACATTGCATTATAGTTCCTTGGTCTTTCTTTCCTGACAATAACACTTTTGAATAGTGGTCAATTGTGTTATACAATGTCCCTCAATTTGGGTTTGTCTGATGTTTTCAAATGATTAGATTGCGTGTATACATTTGGGCAAGGAATGTCACGGAAATGATGTTGTGCCCTTCTCAATCCATTTTGTCAGGAAGATACATGATGTCAATGTTTTTATTACTGGTGAAGTGAATTTTTATATGTAGAGTTCAAAAAATACCACATCCTTAATTTCTCTCTCCATCTATCCTAAAATATTTGTCTTTGACAGAATTTAAAGAACAGAAGTCAACCAAAAAATAATGGTTTGAATCCCTACTGATCTGTTCTTCTAAATCTTCCACATCAGCCTTCTTATTACATTAAAAGATCCCAGAGGTGAACACTGGTGATTTGAAGCCTTACATTTAGGGAAAAGAGTTCGTGAGCTTTTCAGGATTCTAAAACAGGAGACAAGTTTTTTGTTTGTTTTTAGGACTCTGATTTTGTTTGTTGTTTTTGACTTTTTTAAGTGGAAATTTTCAAACATACCTAAAGGTAGAATAGAATAATGAACTCCTGTATACCTATCATCCAGTTTGAACAGTTGTCAACATTTTGTCATTCTTGTTTCATCTATTCTTCACTGTCCTCACCCTATTTTCTGGAATGCTTTAAATCAAATCCCAGATAACATCATTTTGTCCCTAAATAGTATGTATCTCGAATAAATAGGATTTTAAAACTATAATACTATTATAATACCAAACAAAATTAATAAAATCAGATAATCTTAGTTAATATCATCTAATATCCAGTTTGTGATAAATTTTCTTCACTTGTCTCAAAAATGGCATTTTACCATTGGTATGTTTAAGTCAGGATCCAAAGACCACATTCCATTTGTTTGATGTGCCTTTTAAGATATTAATCTATAATAATTTTTCCTGTTCCACACCATTTTGGTAGAAACAAAAAAAACTGGTTTCTACATAACATCTCAAAAAGACTTCTTTGGCAGAGAAAACATGAATGAATATATAGGTATAGATCTCCATGTGTATATATAAACATACCAAAATACGTATTTTTTTAAACATCAAGAGACTGAGTCATTTTTCTTATAGAATTTCCCACATTCTAGATTTGGCTGGTTGAATCCTCATGGTGTCATTTAACATGTTATATTCCTTATATTTACTGTAAACTGGTTGGTAAATGCAGAACACTTCATAGGTGGTGCTTTGTACTTTGTGTTGCATCAGTATTGTGTCTAGTTGTTGTCCCACTTTTAATAATAGATCATTAAGTAGATTCAGGCAAGGTCATTTTAATACATTTATATAAATATATCAGCCTTTAATAATTGTTTTAGAAATTATTGCCCTTAATTCATTTGGGTGTTTATGCAATAGTGATATTCCAATTGTATCATTCCTCTTGTATTTATTAACTGTTTTTCTATAAACATTTCCTCATCAACTTTTTGGTTATTCTGAAATAAAGTTCATACAGGGAAGGAGGGATAAATGCTTGGTCTTGTTTTTTGCTTTATCAGTTTCCTCGACAGAATTGGTACCATATCAACTTCCAGAAGTACCAAGTTTTGGTTTCACTGTTTTTTGATTATATCATGAACTCATGTTTTGCTGTACTGAATGTGTTCTGATCCGTTACAGTCATTCTTTTAAATTCTTTTGAATGCTCAAATTGTCCCAGATTTGGTGAGTTAGAAGCCTTTCAAATAGTTTTTTGATCCTTTTTAACACAACCCTAGGAGTTTGTTTGTTTTGTTATTTTTCTATGTAAAAGTTTCTTTTTCTGTGGCACTCGGTTTTCAAGAAAAGTATACCAGAAGCAGTAGCAAGAACATGAAGGACTGCGCTACATTTATGAGTGACAGTGAGCTTTGGCAGAAATAACCCAGACCTTGGTACCCACCCCCATTACCTCCAAATTTCAAAGGGGGTATTTTCACCACTGTAGTTCTCATTTTTTTTTAGTATTCCCAGTGTACCTTACTTTAGTGGTACCTTACCAAGTACCATCCTTATCTTGAGCTGGTAGCCTCCTTTTTTATAGTGTTATAGAGGCTATTAGGTAACATCTCTGGTGCACTTGGCTAAAGCAGTTTCTCATTTTACTTGTTTTTTAAATTTTTAAACGTATTTTTAAATTTTTTAAAAATAGAGATGTTTTAAAAAAACAAATTGCCTTGTTGCCCAAGTGATCTCAAACTCCTGGGCTCAAGCAGTATGCCTGCCTCTGCCTCCCAGGGTGCTGGGATTACAGGTATGAGCCACTGTGCTGGCCATCATTTGTACTTTGACTGAGTTCAGCATGTTATTTTGGATAGTGTGCCTTGTTATTATTTTCCAGTTGTAGGTTGGATGACTGTTCAGTGGTGCTGGGAAACAGTGGCTTCTGAAGCAATATGGATATAGAACAAATAGGAATTCATAGATTATTTGGATAGCGGCCAATATTTTAAAAACACATGCCTAAAATCTCTAAAACTTTTGAAGCAACAGCCCTTTTGAAAAGTATACTCCTGGAAATAGCTTCACCCTGTCTTTTTGGCCTCACAAGAATCCACTTTTTTTTTTGAGACAGTCTCACTCTGTCTCCTAGGCTGGAGTGCAGTGATCTTGGCTCACTGCAACCTCTGCCTCCCAGGTTCAAGCAGTTCTCCTGCCTCAGCCTCAGCCTCCCAAGTAGTTGGGACTACAAGTGTGCATCACCATGCCCACCTAATTTTTGTATTTTTAGTAGAGACGGGGTTTCACCATATTGGTCAGGCTGATCTTGAACTCCTGATGACCTTGTGATCCTCCCACCTTGGCCTCCGAAAGTGCTGGGATCACTTTGTCAGTGCCAAATGTGAAACATCAGGCTTTGAGTTTGTTTTAAGGTAACTGAAAAATCTTGGGTTTCACTCTAGCTCTGATGGGAGAAAACAACTTTTTAATTCCTTTTTGTTTTTAATGTGTTTTGCTTTATTATTGGTGATTGAATAGTATTTAACAATTAAGGTTTTTTAAATTAAGAGACAGGGTCTCACTGTCATAGGCTGAAGTACAGTGGTGAGTGAGACCTTGGCATGCTGCAGTCTCAACCTCCTGAGCTCAAGATTGATCCTCCTACCTTAGCCTCCTCAGTATCTGGGAATACCGGCTCACCCAGTGTATCTAGCTAATTTTTGTGAGTTTTTATTTTTTTTTTTGTAGAAATGGGGTCTCACTTTGTTATCCAGGCTTGTCTCAAACTCCTGCACTCCAGGGATCCTCCTGCCTTAGCCTCCCAGTGCTGGGATTACAAACATGAGCCACTGCACCCAGCAAAATTATCTATTGATAGCTGAGTCAAATATGTATTTGGGTTTTTTTTAATGTTTGGTTTTTAAGTCTATATACCACCACCAAAATGGATCTCACTATAATCTGGAGACTTTTAAGTCTCAGGCCCTTATTTCAACCTGTATTTGATGCAAGAAAATTAAATCTAAGACATATCCCTCAAAATCTGCTTTATAATGACTGGCTTGACTGACAAAGATCTTTATGATGAATACTAGAATCTGTCTATTGGACTATCTGTAGAATGGTACCACCAAAGGCCTGGATGGGTACATTTTCTAGTTTGCCTGTATTAAGTTTATGCCCCTGCCCATCATTTAAGGCAACCCTGATTAATAAACAGAACTGAGAATTAGTTTGTGGTTTAATGCCAAACAGATGTTCTTACTTGGGGGTTGGGACCTTTTAATATTAAGCACTAATTCCCAAATACGCCAAGTGATTTTAGTGGGAGGTCCAGATGGACTGGCGTCAAAGGATTTAATAAATTTGCTGGCTAAATTAAGACCACCACTGTAACCAGACATTCTCCTTGTCAAAAACTATTCCTGTCTCCACCTTCAGTTCTTCTGTTCTCCAGGGATCACTGATAATAAGCTTGTTGTATAACATTTCTTTTTACCTCTTTTCCTCATGCCATTAGTTTTTAAAGGTACACTGTATCAATTATTAATTTTTTTTTTTTTTCCTTTGGCAGAGGAGATTGAAGTGGATGTTGAAAGCACAGAGTTCTCCCATGGAGAAGTGGACAATATAAGTACCACCAGCATCAGTGACATTGATGACCACAGCAGCCTGCAGAGTATTGGGAGTGACGAGGGTTACTCCAGTGCCAGTGTCAAACTTTCATTCACTTCATAGAACCCAGCATGACATAACAGTGCAGGGCAAAATATTCACTGGGCCAATTCAGTACAAACAATCTCTTAAATTGGGTTCATGATGCAGTCTCCTCTTTAAACAAAACTATACTTGAACAAAAGGGTCAAAGGACCTGTATTTAAGCAAATACTTAGCAAAAAGTGGGGCAGAGCCTCCCAAGGAGAACAAATATTCAGAATAATCATATTGGAAAAATCACAATTTCTAATGGCAGCAGAAAACTTGTGTGAAATTTTGATTTGATTGAGTTGACTGAAAAGAGGAAATTGGAGATGCCATCCTTTTTCTCTTTTCTAGTTTGCTCATACTACATTGAGTAGACACACTTAAGGATGGGATTAGGAACCCTTCCTGTGAGCTCTATGGTCCTAAAAGCAAAATAAGAACTAATTGAATGAAAAGACAAGAAAATCAGGCATTAATCTTGGATAGCTAAAGAGCTATTAAAACAGCCTGGCACAATTATCACGAAGCCTGTGGATGATCAATTATTTTTTTTAAAAAAGCTCATTTCGTGCTCTGCAAAAGGAGAGACTCCCATGAAGCCTTTTGAAAGGGATCATCATGCAGCTCAGCTTTCTGTTGGATTCCATGCTAAGCAAGCTACCCTTATCCTGCATTGTTAGCACTAGAGCACCCAACTGCCAGCTCTCCATCCTGCTGCCCTTAGGCCACATGGGAGCAGTCCATGCATGACAGCCTCTATCATACAAGGCCTATGAGTATGGATTGAGGGGGCCAGAAGGAAAAAGCTCCACGTGCCTCTGTGTCTGCGTGGGTCAGAAGAGTTGTGCACGCAGATTAGCAGGCCAAGGTCTGAGCCACAGCATTTTTATTTCAGATTTTGATAACTGTTTATATGTGTTGAAAACCAAAATGACATCTTTTTAAAGCTTATCCATTAAAAAAACATAGGTGTCTTTTATAGTGAAAAAACACATGGGGAAAAATCATCTATTTTGATGCAGCATTTGATAATGATAAAACACCTCACAATTCACTCTTTATAGTGCACAAAATGAATGAGGCCTGGGCTAGGTAGAAAAAAGGTCAATGCTGTTTTTGTTTTCTTTTAAAATCATTACCTTTTACCAGCTTTTAACCATCTGATATCTATAGTAGACACACTATCATAGTTAACATAGTTAAGTTCAGCACTTGTCTCATTTTAATGTAAAGATTTGTTGCTTCCATTGTCCTACAGGCGTGTCTCTCTTCCTCACAGTCCCACTGTGCAGGTGCTATTGTTATTCTTACAAATATTTTCAGTAATGTTATTTTCTTCTAAGTGAAATTTCTAGCCTGCACTTTGATGTCATGTGTTCCCTTTGTCTTTCAAACTCCAAGGTTTCCCTGTGGCCCTCTCCCTTACCCTGGGAAGGCTTCTTGGAGACCTTATCCCTGGCTGTTTGGACTTTGTATACTTTAAATAATTTAACTACCCTTAATTACTTAAAAAAAAAAAAAAAAAAAAGCTTTATGATTTTCATAACTTATTGCTGATTTTAATGGATTGTTAATTTCAGTCCTGTAGTTTATTTTATGTTTAGATAGGGCTGGGCAAAGAAAAAGAAAATAAAGACAACCATATTTAGCAGTGCAGTTGAGTTGTGTGTTAATGTTAGACTATCCCTTTGTGAGTGGGACAGCATTCACTGCTGCTATAGTGTACCGTCTTGGTCATGTTATGCCTCAGCATATACTTGTTCTTGTGCTCTTCCTGTGCCTCTGGAAGTTCTTCATTGACTGTACTGTTTGAGTGGAAGAAATTATTTGAAGTAGATGTGAGTGAAAAACTGCATGCCTTTAGAAGCCCAGTATTAGAACTTGCTACGTTTCAGGTGCTAGGGACTTAATGAAAAACATGACAAAACAATTCATTTCTGTGGCCTGGGCAAATTATTTCTGGTTTCACTTATAGTTATTACTGGATGAGATGTGATCTCTGTATTTGCTTACTCTTGACCAAGTGTGAGACAGTTTGAAGACTCTGCTACTATGGAAACTAAATGAAGCCAGTGACTAAGGTCCTGTTTTGTTATTCTCATGGCCTTCACTTGCATTATTTGGCCTACGGCATTATTTGGGCCTTCATTCAGATAAACTTGAGGTGCTGCCATTTTGTTGTATATGTACAGGATTATGGGCTGGAAAGCATTTGTTATAAATCTATAGTGCATATTTTAACTGCCCCCTACTAAATTACTCCTTCCCTGGGTTTGTCTTCCTTGGGGTGGTGGGGTAGATTGTATGAAGTATTACTTTTTTAAAAGACGGCAAATCAACTTTGAAGACATAAAAGTTAATTGGAAGAAATAAAAACTGTGAACGAAGAATACCCGAGTTCTTTTTGTACCAGCCTTCTTTATGAAGGCAAAACCATGAATTGGGTGTCCACACCTTAAGAGGTAGCTATCTCCTAAATGTCTATGTTGATACCGAATCAGTATCAATGCCAAATCAAATGGCAGTTTGAATTATAACTGCTATTCTTGTTCTGCAATTTAAATAAGGACCGTCTGACTGGTAACTCCATACAACCTAATTGAATGTGGTTTAATGTGCCATGTTAATAATAATCTTAATTGCTTCAGGTAGCACACAAAGCCATTCTTATGATCTGTTCTCTAACTTTTGGGAGCATCCCTTTAGCTACAGTATTATTCAAATTGCAAACAAGTCTGGAAGTTCCCATTAAGCCTTCACTAACCTTATTTGGGGTACCCTATAAAACACCTGAGTGACATATTAAAAGGTATAAGTAAGCCAGGCGCAGTGGCTCACACCTGTAATCTCATCACTTTGGAAGGCAGAGGTGGGCAGATCACTTGAGGTCAGGAGCTTGAAACCACCATGGTCAACATGATGAAATTCCTTTATCCACTAAAAAAAATACGAAAAATTAGCCAGGCATGGTGGCATGCGCCTATACATAGAAAAGACCAAATAATCACTAAAGACCATAGTAAGACCAAATAATGACTAAAATTGATGCTACATTAATCTTACAAAGCCTTCATTTAAGAAATTCTATAGGAGACGGTGTGGTGGCTCGTGCCTGTAATCTCAGCACTTTGGGAGGCCAAGGTCGATCACTTAAGGCCAGCAGTTGAGACCAGCCTGGCCAACAATGTAAAACCCCCTCTCTACTAAAAAATACAAAAATTAGCTAGGTGTGTTGGCATATGCTGTAGTCCCAGCTACTCAGGAGGCTGAGGCAGGAGAAACACTGGAACCCAGGAGATGGAGGTTGCAGTGAACCGAAATCCACCCACTGCACTCCAGCCTGAGCCACAGAGTGAGACTCCGTCTCAAAAAGGTACAGGTAAAACCTACTGTAGAGCATTGTGACTAAAGGATTCTGACGTCATTGCAACTCAAATTTCTGGTTAGAGTAGGGATGACAACTCCCAGAGAAATGCCTATTTAATCTCCAGGACAATGACTGCTTTTAGCATTGAAAGGATTTTAAAAGGCAGGATTGTTGAGGCAAAGTTCCTGACCAAAATCAGATTCCCAACAGTTAACCCAAAATAGTAAAATGTGGGAAAAGCAAGTGTTTTAATTACACTTTAATCTCAGTTCCAACATTTGCTGACCCTGGTTAATTTCTTCATGGAAACGTTTTCCTCCAGAAAAGTTAAGTACTACGTCTATCTTGAAAGGTTGTAAGGATTTAAGCTGATAGATATAAATACCACCCCACCTGCCAACTGCCATCTAGGAAGATGTAGCACTAAGGAAATTAAAAAGTGTTTCCCTAGTTTCTCTGATGAATGCAACCTAATGCATCCTTAATCCTGAATTTTAGTTATTTTGATTCTAGATCTTACAGAAAAAGGACTATTTCTAAATATTGGTTCACTAAAACAAAATTCCATGGTAGGCAATACTTTAGTAAGAAGTCATTTTTTATTTCCTATAGAATTTCTGTCACCCAGGTTGTAGTGCAGTGACATTGGCTTGCTGCAACCTCTCTCTCCTGGGTTCAAGGGATTCTGCCTCAGCCTCCTGAGTAGCTGTGATTACCTGCCACTGCGCTCAGCTAATTTTTTTATTTTTTAGTAGAGATGGGTTTTCACCATGTTGGTCAGACTGGTCTCGAACTCCTGACCTCAGGTGAGGAGTTCCACCTGCCTCAGCCTCCCAAGTGCTGAGATAGATAGCAGGCATGAGCCACCACACCCAGCCTCCTATAGAATTTCTTAAATGAAGACTTTATAAGATTAATGTAGCATCAGATTTAGTCATTTGGTCTTTCTAAAAAAAAAAAAAAAAAAAAGGACTAACCTCAAGTTGAACATACTATACACTAATAATAATGTGCCCTAGGTTAATATTTAGTGTTGACCTTGCCAAGAAAAGAGAATCAGCAGCTATCTCCTTTCCTATGTACAGATATAATAGCAAACTTTTTTTTTTTTGGTGTGGAATGTTAGATTGTTTTAAATAGCACAGTTCAAAAATGTACTGGCTGACCACTTCCTGTTCTACCTTTCTATATAGTCATAAATTAGAGAAAACAGCCTTAAATGAAGTTATTTTAAGGTTCTGCCAACTAACTTACTGTAGTTTTGGAATTTTTTCCATATCCTCAAGTTCATAGCTCTTTGCCATGGGGAATGCTTTAAAAATCTTAATTAGTAGGGTAATAATTGATATATTTATTTTAGATGCTCACACCAGGGCACAGAATAGCATTGTAAAAATATAACAAAACCTATAAAAGTACCTCTAAAATTATACAAAGAATATAAATTTAAGATCAGTGGTTTCTAAATTAGTAGCTTCATCACACTTAAACCTGAAGGCGATTTTGGAGGGAAAAAGGCCAGGCAAAAGAATTAAAGGGATACTTACTCCTTCCTGCTACTCCTGAGCAATGAACAATTGAATAGTTACCATCTATTAAAATGATTACTAGCCTAGTTTCAGATCTCAGGCTTCAACTCTAGTTTCCCAGGATATAGTCAAGTGTTTCCTCCAAGCCTGAATTCTTTGTTTCTCTGGTCAGAAATTCACTGCATCTTGCTAAAGTAAGTACAGGGCTTGAAAGGGGAAAAAACGAAAGCACATCAGTTTCACCAAGGAAAGGGAAATCTTGAGCCAGGAGAACAACAACCGTAACTTTCAGCCCCAAGTTGAGAAAGTTGCTCTTCAAACAAAATGCCACACTTTTCTTCTAATGAATATAACCATGGCCCTTTCGACTGTATTCTTAAAAAAGACTAAGTGGAGAAATTACAGTTTAAATAATTACAGTGACTATACTGGTTTTGTTTTAAATGAACTGGTATGTGGTGGAAGTAAATTTCCAGTTTTTATTGCCTGGGAACTGAAAGATTAAATATCCCAAACTTGATATTTTTAGCTACTTTAGCTACCACAAACCCCATGTTGTTCTTAATTCTGCTTTACCCCAATCGAGGCCACAAAAGAACAACCTTTATATAGGTAAGATGAAAGGCAGAAAAGGCAATTGAAACACCTCACAGAAATCTAACACCATTTTGTTTAACTTAATTTTGGCTAGGCCAAAACAAATCATTAGAATGTTCCATCTATAAAACTGATTTCTGAACCTCTTAAGATGTTTAAGAACATAACTATACACATATATAGGCCTTTTAAATGATAGGATAAAGGGCGCCAATTACTCGGGTTTTTCTGTTTGTTTAAACTACAGTATTACCTGTTATTTTGCCTGCTATGCTCTTCTTCTTCACTGCAGTAAAAATTCAGTTTAACTTGCAACTCAAAAATCCTAGATACAAAGAATGTACATTTACTGTTGAACTTGTAAATTGTCATTTATATTAATTGATTGCTTCGTAGTATTACTTAATTCAGCAGATATTTATTGAATCCTCAAGATTTTAACAAATATAAAATCTCGTTGGTTTTAAGAGATTTTCTTCCTTTCTATTTCAGTTACTACCCAAGTTAAGGCAAAAAGCTAAATCAAAGATTTAAATATCTTTTTTTGGTTGAATTTACAACTGGTAGTTTTTACCTTATAAAAATTATAATTATAAAATTACAATCTATAGATATACACGAGTCACAAAACTACGATCTTCCTTTATGTTAACCTGATGGTCTCCCTTGCTATTTTTAAGGCAGACATTCAGCATTAGAATTGCACACCGGAAACAGATACACATAATGCCATTCATTGTGAGGACAAACATTTTTTTTTTTAAAGTGCTGCTACATTACTGATGCATCTTGTTTTGGTTTGATGCCTAGTCTTCATAATTAGGCTAAAAGGTAATTTTCTTCATTTCAAAAGTCTAACTTTTATAGTTAACAAAACAGTTCTTTACGGTGATGCACATCAGGATCACCCACAGTGTTTGTCAGACAGACATACTTTGCCTGGATAAGTCTAAGCTTGGTCCCAAGCCCACAAGTTCCTCTTTAATTTTAAACAAGCATTAGGGGTGACTTCTACTATAACCTTAACCCCCTTCCCATTAAGAAACATGCCCTAGGTATAAAAATTAATTCAAACCTTTAGGAATAGTAAATATATCTTATCACCTTGGTAATTTGGTAACACTTCAATAATATACTTATAATTGGATGCCTCAAATCATAAGCAATGGGTATTGTTATCCATTGTTAATGTGGACTGCTCTGCAAGTTAAGGAAAAAATATCAGATAATTCACCATTGCCACTCTGCAGACTAATAGCAGACACTTCTATAGTGCTTATGCCAGATACTCTCAAGCTCTTTACACACATGAACTCAATCCTTAAAACTGAAAGATTTTTCCATTCTACAGCTGAGAAAATGAGTCAGAGGAATACATAGTTAATAAATGGGAAGCCAGGATTCAAACACTAGTCTCATTCTAGAGTCCTTGCTGTTTTCCAATATGCTCTGTGGCCTCTCTATATGGTAATTAAAACAGCACTTGTTACCTGTGATTACTACTAAAACTAAACATTTGGTTATTAATTTTGGGGATGTTAGGACTATGCTTTCCTTGAAATGGTAACAACAGTCAAATGTCAAGCTTAAGTTACATAAAACCATTTCTACTTAGGGGCCCATAATTCAATATTTAACATTTCAGTCTGTCACTATCTCTTTTCTTAATGGGGAAAACACTACATTAAATTTTCTAACAGAGCTTCGTAAGGCCAAGGTTTATATTTTGTTTTAGAATAGAGCTGTACCATACTTCTCATTGAGCATCTTCTCAAATTCAGTATCACACTGTGAAAGGTACTGTCTCCCCAGGAGTCCTACCTCTTAGTTTAGTTCAGAGACACGAACATCATCCTGACACTAGGATTTTCCAAAGGGTTACATCTAAGTCTTTGACACAAAGGTTGATTTCATTCTATACATCTACTTTCAAAACTGATTTTTTTTTTTTTTAATAAGGCCACTTTTATTCCTTTTCTCTCTCCTACTGCAAAGTCCTCTGGGAAAACTAAGGTCCCTCCCACCAGGGTCAAAAGAGGGACAAGGCTGTTTACAAACATCAGGTGAATTACTATTCATTCAAACACCACCAAGGTAATCTCAACAAAAACCGTTTTCTGGGGTCACACAACGGCATCATATTTCTTTCCAGTGCTTTTTAAATTGAAGGATTATCTTGCAGTCCATCAGGGCTACTCTTGATTATTGATAAGCTCTTAAGATGTTGCAATAATAACAAAGTATCAGTATATTTGGTTTAGAAGTTTTCAGGCTTCAAGGAGCCCTTTTTCTACTGCAATTTGTACCTTTCTGTCCTTTGTGTCCTACCCTGTGGCCACGAATTATATGGAACAGTGACCCTCCTGGGTTAAAAGGGGGTTGGGGTGGAAGCAAGAGATGAAGAATTCTACCTACCACTGTCCTAAGTTTCAATTTATAAAAAAAATTAAAATTCATGAAATAAAAACTTATTTTCCCCTTCCACCAAAAACCTACAAACACCCCTTAAAATGAAGACATCCTATAAACACATGCCTGGTTTGTCCTTTAGGATATAATTTCTTCTGTCTAATGGAAGGAATACTTAAGGATTTACTGAAACCTTTCTCAATCAGTATTCTTTTCCATGGCAATGCTGTGTGCAAGTACTTGGAGGTTTACTCTCTGTAAGTATGGCAGCTAAAGACTTAACCCTTTTTTTAACACACCCTAGAGATTTTAAAAACACTTTATTTAATAAAAGTTAAACATACAAAACTGAAATTAATACACATCCTAAAAATCACCTTCTTCCATTAATAGGAAGACCCTTTTCTATGCATGTATTTGGCTTAAACTCAACTCAGGATAACTGTGATGTTTACTTACACCAACAAATGCAGACTTGATCTAATTAACAAAAATTACAAACTCAGCTAAATGAACATAATATACAGGGAAATTATGGTCAGATTAATGCACAAGAAATACGAGAAATATTTAATGATGAAACATTCAGTACTCTTGCTCATTAATTTAGCCTTGTGTTTTTACAAAAATAGTATCTACACTGTATACAGGGCTATACATCAGCTTTTTGTTCTCCCATATAAACATTACACATCCAAAACATGGTACCACTGCCGAAAATGAAAAAAAAGGAAAAAAGCAAACATACAAAAACCAAAAACACCTTAGAAAAGGGAGCTCATCCTAAACATGGTTTCTTACATAAAACTAAGAGTACATAAAAATAAAAGAGCTAGATCAATTTTAGAGATGGCCCAATAGGCCTAGGAAACAACTGAGGAAAAACCTCAAAACAAACTTTGCCATTTACAAATTAACCTATATTTAGGCTTAACTGAATGACAGCTAAGTTTTAAAATTAAAAATAAGAAAAAGGAAAGGATCTCTTTAGCAGGTTGGTGTTTTTTGCCTTGGTGTTCCAATGAATTGCTAGAGTATGTGTCAAGTTCAAAGCATCTGAAAATTCCAAGTTACAACTTACAAAAAGTACATACCATAGGTTAAGTGGGGGGGCCTGGTATTAGGACGATCAACAGCTCATCTAAGTACTGTATGAAGCAGCATCTACAAAAGTTGCTTTATTCAACAAACTTTGAGGGAACTGTGGTAGTAGTAAGAAGAAAAGTTAAATGAATACCAGTTATCAATTGCAATTTCTTCACGTTTCATTCTATTGAAGTCAACCAATGACGACAATGGTATCTTGCTTACTCATCTAACAAATAATTTACCTTTAGAAAAATATAAGGATAAAAAGGTAAATGTAAAGCCCTGAAGAGATGAAATCCAACAGTTTTTCTGATTATTGAGGCATCAAATGCCTGACATTGTATTTAGAGGTATCTTGATATTGTGTCATAGGTTTATCAGCAATTCCACAAGTTCCTACTCCAACTTTGCCAGTCACACTCTCAGGTGAAGCAAAAATACTCCTCTTTACCTAGAAGAAAACAGAAATCATTTCTCATGAGTGTTGGAAAAAATAAAAAAATTCAAATTTTAAGTAATGTTAAAATATATTCTGATTTCAATGTTTAAAAGAAGAAAAGTGTATTGCCTTCCATATCCATTTTTTAATGGATATGGAAGTGGTCCCATGCTAGAAGCCATTTACTCTAAGTTCTAAGTTGTTCAAAATATCACTAGACACTTATTAATACTCATAACACTTGCCTTCCGATATCTCACAATTTTAGTTTTGCAAACTCCAATCCTAATTTCAGCTGTGAGCTATCCATTTTGGCATGATTAAAACTCTGGCTGTATTGCAGTTTACTGTGGGCCTGTTACAATATCTAAATTGTGAAGTCCCTAGGCCTTTGTCACAAAGTTAACTTCTTTATGAAAAGGAAGCGCTTCTTTCCAGAAGCCATGTCCATCAGTCAAAGGGCTACCTTGATGTCAATGAAGAATAACACATAGGTGCAAGTCTTTTCATTATTCTGAACTTCCTATATGAATGCTACAGTTATTTTCTACCCAACACACACTTAGAAAGGTAAGTGCATCAAGGGAAACTGAATGCTCTTTTAAATAAAATCTACCAGTGATGCCCAGCATCAAGGCACATTAACCAAAGCAGGTAGAGTTAAGAACACTGCCTCTAAGTAGCAAGTATTTTTTCCAATTTTAGTTTATAGAAGGAAAAGAACATAGACCTTTTGTAATTCCTGATGTAAATTCTCTCATTCCTAGTATTTTTATTGCAGAGACAATGCCTAACATTTTTCAATAAGCTAAATTGACCATCAATAAGGAGTCTCAACATGAGTTAATCATACTTTAAAAAAAAAATCTACATACTTCTGTCTTCATTTTACAGTTATTTTAATGACAGCTGTATTTCTCAAATTTACGAAGTGTCATAAGAAGATTTACCAACCTGGCCTTTTTTGTTTTTAGAATAGGCTCTGTTGTTGAATTGTTGCCATTTCACTTTCTGGTCCTCTCTTTCCTGCTCAAGTTCTTTTATTCTCTGAGCTTTTTTCAAAGCTTTCTTCTTTTTATATTCACGCTGCTGAGCAATCATTTCTTTTCTTCATGAAAAAAAAGTTAAATGTCAACCGTTAAGACTTATTATAAAAGAATGACTTTCTTGAAGACACTGGCAGTGAAAAAAAAAAAACTAACATATATAAAATGGTCTGTGAATAAAAGCACTAACTCATTAAAATCAATACCAATCACCCAGAATTACTAAGAATTTTTTTTTAATAGCATCCTTGGAAGCTTTCAAACATAACTGTAATCTTTTTACCCAGATAAAGTAAATATTTCAACTATGACTTCTTTTTTTGAGACAGTCTCATTCTGTCACCCAGGCTGGAGCTGGAGTACAGTGGCGCAATCTCGGCTCACTGCAACCTCTAACTCCTGAGTTCCAGCGATTCTTGTGCCTCAGCCTCCTAAGTAGCTGGGACTAGAGGTGTGCACCACCATGCCTATATTTATATTTTGAGTAGAGATGAGGTTTTGCCATCTTGGCCAGGATGGTCTTGAGCTCCTGGCCTCAAGTGATCCGCCTGCCTTGGCCTCCCAAAGTGCTGGGATTACAGGCATTAACTGGGTCCGGCCTCAATTACTACTTTTTATTTTACATTTCTATATACAGCTGTTGCCAGTTGTTTTAGGAATAAGTGGAGTTTCAGTATTAATGGGTATCTAAGCCTTCATCTACTTCCAAATAGACAGATTTAACAGGTGAAGCATTTAGAAAAAAATGTATGAAGAGACCTAATGCTGATAAAAGTACTTCACCTACACTGGAAGAATGCAGCAGCACAAAGGGAAATGCTAGTTAACGATTCTCACCAAAACAAAACACCTGGAGGTTTCAAAAACATACTAAATAGGATCAGAGCCTAAAACTCCCAATAATTTCAAGAGGAGCAATATCTAGACTCCCTGGTACCATATCACCACTATGTAGCTATGGCTTTTTACACAGACATCAAAGACATAAAAAATTACACACTGTTCTAGAATTTGATTTTATTGGAATGCTTATGTTATTTCAATATATAATTTTTGCATATTCAAATATAAATATGTAGCAACTTGAGTTCTGAAAACTCTTGACAAAAGACTAAGTTATGGCAAATATGCAGAAGTTCACCAAAAAAATGTTAATTCTGCCTCTTAAATGCTATTCAGAACTGCATAGTTCCCCATTCCCACTGCTACTCCTTGGGTTCAGGCCATCATCTTATACCTGGATCACAGCAGTAGATGCCTCTCTGTACTGACAGTAATCATTCTAAAGCTCAAATCTAATCCCAGCATATCCCCTCTATTGAAAATGTTATCAGTGACTTACAAGCTCTTTACACACATTCTGGACTTTACCTCTCTATTAGACCACCCACTTTCCAAGTCCCAAATTTTTACTACAGGGATTTGTTACTTTTATGTGCTCACCTCCCTTTAAAAAAATTTACTAAGCTCTACCTACGTGTAAAGAACTGTGTTACAAGCTTTACTAACACTTATTTCAATCCTCACAACCCAATAAACTACTGCCCCTATTTTACAGACAAGGAAACAGTTAAACAGCTTATCCAAGGTCATAATGCTCATTAATAACAGAAAGAATTCAACCCCAGATCACTGTCATCCCACGTTGCAGTTTTGTACTTGTCCATCTCTTATTCTTTTCCAATCTCAGTTTACATGTCATTTTCACAAAGAAATCTGCCTTAATAATAAAAAGTGTAGACTGAGTACCTCTTGTTCCCTTACAGTACCTGTTATATCCCCTTTGTAATGTTTACACTCTATTATTAAAGCACTTCATTAATGATGAGTTTACTTCTCTATATACTCAGTTGGGACAAGGCCCAAATTGGTCTCCTGTGGTGTAGCCGCAGCAGCTGGCTTATCAAACATACTGGGAAGATGTTCGTTGTACATAGTATCTTTTTTAGTATTTACTGAATGCCTAATTGGGAATCAAAATATCTTCACTTTACTTAGACACAGATACACAATGTTGACCTTTTGTCGCTAATCTCCAAAACAACAGTAAAACAGTATTGTAACTTTCTTATGCATAGATTCTCTCTGCAGACTACCTCAAATATCCAAATGGGGAAGATTACACCTGAAATGGTAAAGTCAAAGTCACTTACTTTGACATGGGTTTGTTGCCACTGTCCTCCTTTGCCTTCCTTCCTTCTTCTACAGGCTTGAGGTTCAACAGTGGAGTCACTTCAGCATTGCCATAACCAGCAAAGGTGATTGCAGCGGTGCCATTTTCTTCATCTATCTCCTCAATCTCCGCTTCATAACACCTGTAAAGATATCATGGCTGTAAGCAGGTGAGTAAAGGTTTAGTACTCAGCCTACAAGACTTATACTGCAGTGATACAATTATTACATGTGTTTATAATAAAACTTCTATAGTCAAATGGTTGTTTTAGCAAAGAGAACACAAGAGTGGTTGAAGTTAGTCATCTGCCATCAAAAAAGGATGTCCTCATCAAAATATTGCTGGGAAAGTCTCTTACATATATCTACCCAACGTGCTTTAATCTTTTTGGGAAAAGATGTTTCTTTTCTTTTCTTTTTTTTTTTTTTGCAACAGCGTCTCACTGTCACCCAGGCTGGAGTGCAGTGACGCAATCTCGACTTACTTCAACCTTCACCTCCCAGGTTCAAGAAATTCTCAAGCCTCAACCTCCCCAGAAGCTGGAATTACAGGTGCACGCCACCATACCTGGCTGATTTTTGTTTTAGTAGAGTTGGGGTTTCACCATGTTGGTCAGGCTGCTCTCAAACTCCTGACCTCAAGCGATCCGCCTGCCTCAGCCTCCCAAAGTGCTGGGATTACAGGTGTGAGCCACCACACCCAGCGAAAAGATACTTCTTATAGGAATGATTTCAGTGTCTGCTCTTCACAGAAGTCTCAAAAAAACCAACCATTCACTCAATTTTCAATTTGAGAAGAAAAGCATTTAGAAAACACCCATTCATTGTCCTGTGTTTCTTTCCTCTAGAATCCAAGCCATTCTTCTCCAAACTTAATCAAAAGCTAAAACTAAACTGTAATAATGGCAACCACCCAAGAATCAAATTGGCTCTATAAATCATACTGCCGAATAGAAGTAAAGATTAAAATAGGGTAGTTAAAACTGAATAAAAACTTCTTACCATTGTATTTTATTATTTCATGTTATAGTTAGAGTTTTTTTTCTACACTTACTGTCCATCTTCACTCCAGATTGCCATACACTTGTCTCCTACTTTCCATGAATGAGTAGGCTGAGTAGAAGCAAAACTGTCTGAACTTGCAAGCGTCTCAGAAGGCTGAGTTGACAGAAGGTCTTTGGTTAGTTCTATAACTTCCTAAAAAAGAAAAAACGACATTATTTTTATAACTCTCATTGTCAACTTTTTGATGACAGCCTTCATAGTGTACATTAATGAAGTATTCTACATATATTTCATTTGCAGTTCATAACACTATTAAGGAAGTACTGATTATCCCCATGTAGAAACTAAGATACAGTATTTTCTACAAATGGTAGAGCTGTGATTTAAGCCCACATAGTTGTCTTTCAACTTAACCACAAATACTAATGAAACTTTTAAGACTTGAGCTTATACCATTTCTAAGTGCCTATTTTAGCTGACTAGATCTCTCTAAAGATGATAAAGTATGAGGGACTGAATTAGATACTCTTACTGAACATATATTTTATGCAACTGTACTGTTTTATAGGGCATTACTCAGCAGCATTAACTGCCTAGCAATCACTTTAAGCAGCCTTATTAGTTACACAAATGTTCCTACTTATATCTCTACTAAAATACTGCAGGCATATGTAAAAGAAACTGGTAGTCTTCCTATTCAATTTTTGTACAACTCACCCCATCTGGGTAAGCAAATTATCAGGTTAGATTTTAAATGTTCCATACCTTAATGTTAAGCACATTAGCACAGCTTCACTTAAAAGGCAGGGGGTGATACATATAGGCAGACAATGCCTTTCTGTGTGGCAAATATTTTTTTCAAATTCAGGCTTACATTTATTGGCTTCATTAAAAAATGTTTGGTGTAGGGATGGTTATAAAAACTGAAAATAGTACAAGCTGACAGATTCTGCTACCTATATGCTATATTGTAAATGAAGATCCATACTATGCATCTTATCTAAGAACTTGCGTAACTGTTTACCCATTGTTGCATTTAAAACATCATACTGTGTGTCTGGGGAGAAAAATTAACAGTTAAACTGTGTACTGAGTTTCTTCTAGCTCCTACTGAGGCTTTATAATAGTAATTCTGATTCAGTAGCCAAGAAAGTTAATTACCTCTCTCCTAAAGATTCTAAATCTTCCTGGCTATTTCTGAAAAACTAACATTTGAGTCTTAAATCTCTTGAAGAAAGGTTAGTTTTATAAATAAATAAATAGAACACTTAGGTTCGAGTTAAAAATTCAATAGAAATAATATCTTATAAGTTGTATTAGTTGAAAACCAGCCATTAATTAGATTTTTTAAATTAGACAGTCCTTTGCAAATAAAGCAAAGAACTTTCCAAATAACTAGATCAAGTAGTACAAAAAAGAAGAGTAAATTATCTGGTCTTGTTTTTAGTTAACCACTTTTAGGGCTAGGAATGTAATCTAGTAAGCCTGACTTAAGAGTCCACACAATCTTTATCATTAAATACTTCTACATCCACCTAGGGATCATTTAACCTAAGCACAGACATGAATTCTGCATTTGTAGTTTTCAGATTTAGAACTCCATTTTTTTTAGGACAGAACATTTTCCAAATATATTTTGTTAAAGAAACATATGTCATCAAACCATTCAGAGGCTGAATGACCCTTTTTTAGAAAAAATCCAGAGGATTTACTCCTAAGGTCCTTTAACTTCATCATGGTTTTTCATAACCCTCCCAACAAACTATGAAGAACCTTCTAAATTTCTTTTCTTCACATGTGCGTATGGACCAAAGTATTAGAAAAACTATTTTATGTATGAGGGGGTTCTTGAAGGTACATACCATTAATTACTTTTCCTCCCTCAAGTCTGAGTTCTGAAACTGCTCCTTCATCGACAGATGGGCAGCAGTTACAGTAATCGGCAATTCCAGGAAGCATCAGGTGTTGTGATCTACATATCAGCAGGTCAAAGGGGGTGCACTCAAGCACTCTGCTTACTGAAGGAAGGCGTTTCGGGGATGCAGAGAGCCACTGTAATATATGAGACAAGTGACTTGACCCCTGCCTCCTTTAGAACCAGCTTATTCAGCAAAACAGCCTAATAAATTGACTATTTGTGATTATCATAGACTGCCCGGGGAGCTAGTTAGCTAGCTAGCCTGGATTTTATTACACCCACTTTTTTAAGTGAAAAAAGAAAGGCAGGACTTTAGTAGATTAATATGCTGCCTGCTGAATAACTTTAGTCTCTACGAAAGACAGTAAATGAAAGAGATAAATATGGAAACCTTACTGGCAAAATGAAGTCACTGAAAAAATGCAGAAAAAGATTTTGTCATAAATCAAAGGGCAAACAAATTAATAAGGATATAATTCTATAGAAGAACATAAATTAGAAACCGTATGATGGTCAAAAAATATTAATATGAGGAAGCCACAAAAATCAGTCTGTACAGACTTCTCACCAAATATAACAGGCAGAATTAAATACCCATAGCACGAGATACAGCCCAGAAGGCAGAGAAGGAAAAAAGAGGGGAATGGGGGGAAACCCCATAGCAAAAAGAAGTTGTAAGTGTTGTCTCAATTACACTAGAGACAACACTTACATGGTGGAAGCATATAGCCAAATATTTTTCAGAATATTACCTCACCTTAAAAGATGCTTTCCATTTTTGAGTAGTTTTCAATCCAAAACAGACCTTATCTAGTAATCAAAATGAAATTTCTAATAAGACAGGAAGAAACTCTGATCAAGACTGGTCAGGAAAAACATTCTGTTACTACTATCTGAGGCATTAGAACTTACACTTCTAAATCCCTACCATTCAATTTGGTAGTCACAGGTGGCTAATTAAGCTATATTAAAAACCATCTCCTAAGTAACCCTAGCAGTATTTCAAATATATTCAATGGCCCTATGTGACTAGTGGCTATGGTACTGAACAGCAGATATAGAACATTTCCATCATGACAGAAAGTTCTAGTGGACAGTACTTGTTCTTAATGGTTATAGAAAAGAGGAAACTTTATAGATAAATGATTTCCAGGTCATTACTAACTGAACCCCCACCCCAGGCAAGCCTTTTAGGTGCTTACTACAATGCTTATCACAATGGTTTCCCCTACAGTACTTTCTCACGACGATGATCATGTCATAGTAAGACAGTTCTGCCCAGGCTCTAAAGACAAATTATTCTAGAAATATTAAAAAGACCTGATGATAATGCTATTTCTAACTCCATTCTCAACTTCCCCAACCTGACCAGTTCAACAAATACCTCTCCTCCCACTGCCCAGGAAACAATATACAAAACACTAGCACCCAATGTTTTCTTTTCCTTAAAAAGAACTGCTTAAGTTGGTAAAGGTAGTCAAGGCATCTCTCTTTGGGGCAAACAAAGTCAGTGCTTTACAGAGTATAAGATAAGAAGAGGTCAGTGTGCCTCTGTTGCCTCATCTTCAATGTATATTCACAACACGTGAGCAGATCAAATGGACATGTGGCAAACCACTGGGTTATTTTCTACTTAAGGGCCTGGGAGTGGGAGAAATTGCTTTCAAAACATCTTTTTCTGATTGAGTCGCACCCTGAAGTCCACAGGCATGGCTTCTGCCTATTGAAGAGGGGTCTTGTTCACACTGAAATCATCCCATATAGTTTGTATTTTATAATAACATACTACTGCCATTTTATTCTAAATCTAGAACTTGAAAATATTCAACTCTGGGCAACTTAATTATGCCCAGATAAGCAGTTTCAGAATCCCAAATCTGGATCCTATTTCAGGTAAGTTTGTTTGCAGTTCTGATATCCCTAAAATAGCAATAATTTTAATGGGATAGCCCTAAAATAGCACTGGGATAAAGGGAGGGAAGAATTTTTAGAGAGGATACAGATTCGAGTTTAGTCCTCAATTGGTAAAGCAACCTCTAATCAAAACATCCTTGAAACTTTTTAAAAATCAGGTTCAGAATTTAAAGAAGTTCTTAAAAGTCATATATGTTTACAAATTATATATGGCATTTTCCTGAATCAGTCTGGTGTCCTGAGAAACAAAAGATATTTACTATCACGGCTCTGTCTTGAAATCCCAGTGCAGGTTTCAACTCTGGGCAACTTAATTATGAAACCTTTTTAAAAAGGTTTCCTATCTACTTAGCTCTCCCATGACAAAGATCTCCTTTTCACCTCATAGTTCAATTTCCATAAGTGTCAACCACTTCACTGTAAAACCTAGCCTTAAATCCGAACATCTAATGTAACAATTATATAAAGAACATGTCTCTCCTTAGGCATTTCTGTGGTGTGTTTTCAATAAGTAGCCCACTAGCTTAGGAAAAAAAAAAGTAGTCACCCATTTTCAAAGAATCTTTTTGTATTAAAAAGAATCTTAAGGTTCTATTTTTCTCCTTCAATCTCTGATACTTTTTGAACTAAATTTCATTTGCCAGGTCTTAAAAAATAAAAGCATTTTTCATTGTGAAGTTATATGTGCCTCTCCTCTTGAAAACTGGACAGACTTAAAAATTTCTATCAACTTTTGTTTTTAAAAATTATATAAGCACACAAGATTTACATAACAAAGAACATTTCATTCATTATGAAATTCAGAAACCGAGAATTTGGGAAGCAACCCTACTTCTACAAGCCACAGTACCTACACAATTTACATATATACACAGGCTGGGGTGTAACCCCTCAAAAGGTGCTTTGAGTCCTTATGGATTCAAGCAATAAGTAACTTGAAAAACAAACAAAAAAACCCCTACAATTGTCTACCCATACTTACTTGTAAATCTTTCTTCAATTTTAGCAAATCTTCATTTTCTCCATTTCCAGATAATGCAGCTTCAACTTGCTGTAGTTGAGCTTTGTAGCTTGCCAGCTGCTTTGCTAAATCCTCTGACATCTGGGGAAAATAAAAAAGACGAAAACTGAACCAAAAATCAAGCCGTAAAAATCTAACTTCCTTGTCTGCCTGAATCATCAGTTTTTGGCTCCAATTCCTTCTAACAATGCACCTTAATTTACCACCATTACCTTTACTCTCTGTTTAGACTTCAGCTAAATCACAAACTTCAAGGCAACAGATTCTGAGGATTATAAACTTGTGAGATACATTTCCATGCTTTAAAAAAGCATACAGAGACAAAGAAATTTCTAATTTTCTTTTAATTCCTATCCAGAGGGTAGGCACTGAATTTGGCTCAATAATCAATGCTATTTTTTTAATGAAGCACTACTCTGTTGGAAGAGTCGAAACTTTCTCAAAAACCATCCAAATACTTATTTTTAAGCGCTAAAGTATGCTTCTAAAGCCAAACAAGTACGTTTTCAAATTAACTACACAAACAACTCTCTCTCCTTGAACTATTCAATTAAGAATGTATTTAAACGTGCTTCTCCAGAACAAAACTCTTGGGCCCAGTCGCTTAAATATTTATCGGTGCATTAACTTTAGTAGAAAGAACACGACAGGACTCTCCCATTTAGGCATTCGAAGGAATGTGCCTTTCGCCAAATCCAGCTCACTCATTTTCCTGAAAATAAGACTATCAATTAACCTTTTTTGATGGTTTATAAGCAAACGTACGACGTTTCCGAGGACCCTTCTCTTTCGTAAAATTTCCGTTCAACCTAAGGCTGGAGCCCGGAAAGGGCCCCCCGAGGGTTACAGCGAGCCAGGCTGCTCTCCTCCCCGCCATGCAGCACCTCAAAGCCCGCCACAACTCGATCATTCAGACCTGGAAATCCAAACGCCAGCTCCAAGGCCACCGCCGGAGCCCCGCTGCGCTACAACAGGCTCCATACGGAACCGCGCGGCGCGCAGCCCCACCCGACCCGGTCCCCTACGGGCCGTATTCACGGTCGCCGCGGCTCAGCTCCAGCTGGGAGACGGCCGTGGCTCCGGGTTCCAGGGCCAGTGCCCGGGCGTCTCCGGCGAGGCGAGCTCCTCGGCCTTGGGCCTCCGCTTCACCACGGGAGGAACCCGGGCTCGGCCAGGCCTCACTCTTTTCCTCAGGGAAGATTGTTACCTTGTGTGGGGCTGGGGGCGGGGCGGCGGGAAGGGGTCGGGGCAAATGAGCCCAATGGTAGTGGCGGCGGCAGCAGCAGCAGTAGCAGGAAAATATCCGCGGCGACAACAAGGCGACTCAGTCTGAAAAGGAAAAATTCGGTCGGTGGCGAGGGGGAGGGGAGGAAAGCCGGGCACTGGAAGGAGGAAGACAGAAGTGCTGAAGTCTCGCGAGAAATACAAAAAAAAAATCGCGCGAGGTCGCTTGACTCACGTGACTCCGCGCGCCCGCTAGCCGGTCCCTGGCAGGTAGGGACGCAAAGTGGGCGGGGCCTAAGAAGGAAATGGCGTAGTTGGGCTGCGCCAGGCGCGGAATGTAGGTTATCTTCCTGGGGTTCCGGCTTGGAACTTATTGGAAATGTGACTATCAAGCCTCGCCCCGGACCTCCTGAATACAGACCGTCCGTTTCAACAAGCCCGCCAGTTGATACTGATGCCAGCTGAAGTTTGGGAACCACTGCTTTTTAGGGGGTGTTGGGGGCTCTCCTTATGTTGCCCTGGGTGGTCTCCAACTCCTGGGCTCAAGCAGTTCTCCCGTATCGGCGTCCCAAAATGCTAGCATCATAGGCGTAAGCCATCGCGCGCAGCCTGAGAACAACTGCTTTATATGATAAAAGCCTTAGTAGCAACAGACAGCTGATTAAATCCTGACAGAAAGAACCTGTTGGAGAGGAGATTGATTTCTTTATTTTGTTAAAACCTAATTGGTTTTAATTAAGTTAGGTTAATCTCGCCTGATAGAGAACAAAATCCAAGTTAGTCTAGAATTACGGTAAACAGAGTGGTAGGAATACTGACATTTATGTTCAAAATGAAATGTCCCTTGTGTATGTTTGTAATATATATATACGCGTTCTGGACGGATACACAAACCTGTCCAGAGGTTTGGAGTGGAAGCCAAATGTTTTATTGATTACCCTCTTTGTAGTTTACCCTTTTCTTCTTTTTTAAAAAACCATATGTATATGATTTTATTTCAATTAAATACAATAAAGGCTTAAGACAAAAATGATTATATAGATGCCAAGAAGCAACCTTTCCTGGGAGGTTGGGAATTTGTTGCTGCACCCATAAAAATGCACACTTCTGGCCGGGCGCCGTGGCTCACGCCTGTAATCTCAGTACTTTGGGATGCCTAGGTGGGCGGATCACGAGGTTAAGAGATCGAGACCATCCTGGCCAACATGGTGAAAACCTGTCTCTACTAAAAAAAAAAAAAAATTAGCTGGGTGTGGTGGCGTGTCTGTAGTCCCAGCTACTCGGGAGGCCGAGGCAGGAGAATCACTTGAACCCAGGAGGCAGAGGTTGCAGTGAGCCGAGATTGTGCCACTGGGACAGAGCGAGACTCCATCTCAAAAAAAAGGCCCACTTCTCAGATGGCCTCTTTTTAACTGTGGCAACACCTTTAGTTCCTTCTTGTTTTCTTTTCAAGGAGCCTTCCCTTTTGTTCTCTACATAAACACGCATAACCCTTATAGTGAGTCAGATAACCTGTAGAGATGGAAACTAGGTCAGGTTGTGAGTGTGATTGGGATGGTAGGCAACTTGTAAAGACTGAAATTGCAGCAGAGGGCAGCAGTGTGTAGCTAGAATTAAGAGGTAAGACAAACCAGAAAGCATGTGCTTTTTAAAGAGATTTGTTTAAAATAAAATGTAGTTTTGGAGAACTGCTGTTATTCTAATTGTGTCTTTTAAGAACTGATGCCAGGAGGAACATCCTTGATTATAAAGTAAACTTTACAGTTGTGTAAAAATCTCTTAAATAAGAGAACTTTCCCTGAACCCCATAGATCAGAAAATAGAGAAATATTCATTATGAGTTCTATACCATCTTAATAGTTTTGTTTTCAGGATTGTTTCAAATCTATCTATGTAACATTCATTTATAATGAAAAGCTATATTGAATTTTAATTTTCACAAAGAAGTAACAGTTGTACGCACCAGTTACCATTCTAAGCACTTTACACGTGTTCATTTAATTTTCACAATTGTATGTGGTGTTGCTCCAGACAAAACTGGAGCAAGAATAAGCTTTGACTACGAGCGATACTTCGAATAGGCTTTCTGAATTACCACTTCCTTTGGAGTGTCAAAATTTACTTTCAGCATCTGATTTTTCTTAAAACATTTGCATTCAAACTTAATCATGTTTATTCAAAAGAGCAGTATCTTGAACCTTTAGTTTTGAAACCTGATATTTATTTTATTGAAAGGCAGTAAATAAATACAATTTAAAGGCTCCAAGTTGTCATCAGAATATACAACTATTTCCTTTCTACTAAAGAAAATTAAAATATGACACCAGGGCACCCAGCTACTTGGAAGGCTGAGATGGGAGTCCAGAAAATTGAGGCTGCAGTGCACTGTGACTGTGCCCATGAATAGCCGCTGCGCTCCAGCCTGGGCAACATTGTGAGATCCTGTCTCAAATTTTAAAAATTAAACAAGAATTTTTAAAGTATAGCTGTCTTTGGATATATGGTAGCTCACTGCAGAGCAGAAGAATATGCAATAAACTAATATATGTTGATCAAGTAGTTTTTTTTTTTTTAAGAGACTAGATCTTATCTCTGTTGCCCAGGCTGGAGTATAGTGGTTTGATCTCAGCTTGTTGCAACCTCTGCCTCCCGTACTCAAGCAAACTTCTCACCTCAGCCTTCCTAGTAGCTGGGACTACAGGCACACGTCACTGTGCCCGGCTAAGTTCTATATTAATTTTTTGGGGGGAGTTGAGACAGAGTTTTGCCATGGTGCCCAGGTTGGTCTCAAACTCCTGGGCTCAAGTAATCTGCCCACCTTGTCTTCCCAAAGTGCTGGGATTATAGAGTCAGCCACCTCCCTGGGGCAGAGACTGTATTCTTTATCTCAGCTTTTACTGTATCATTTCCTGACTGAAAGTACCCTCTGATTTGGCCACATTTTTTCCTATCTTGACAAATGCCAAAGGTGATAAACTAGAGTTGTATGTAATCATAGTGATTGTTTTATGCCCCTTTCTTTAGTCATAATAAGTGATTTGAATGTTTGCATGGAAATTTGCTGCAGGATAAGCAACTTGCCTTTTTGTGCTTATTGAGTGTTTTGGATACAGTGCATGGAACACATGTATCCTGGGATGAAGCTTAGGTGGCACCATCCATTTGAAATTGTTGGAAAACAACCTGAAAATGGTGTTGGTCAGTGCAGGTGTTCAGATGTTCATCAGTCATAGCAATCCTGAATTGTTTGCTTAAATTTTTATTGCACTGCTAACCTTACCTGTAAAGGAAGGTTGCCAAAAATGCTTAACCTGAATACAAGTAAGCTAATTGATCCAACTTCCATGTATAAGAAATATGGGTATAAAGGAACAGGTAAATTGAGCGTGAGGGAAGAATTACACCAGAATATGGGACATTCTATAAGAAAACACCTGAATTTTTCCAAAGGTCAGTGACATTGAAAGGTGTGGGGAACTGTTCTAGATTAAGAGATAAACAGATGTAACAATCAAGTGCAATGAATAAATCTTGATTAGATCTTGGTTCAGGAAAATAAAGCTGTGAAAAAATGTAGGGGCCACTGGAAAATTTAAATATGAACTCAATATTAGATGATGTTAAAGTATTGCTAATTTTATTAGCTGTAAAAACTATTTTATGATTTTTTAGGAGAATATCCTATACTGAGGTATTTATAGAAGTGACTGTTGCAAATTTTTCAAAATGAAAAGTATAGACAGACTGGCTAGAACACCTTTTAGAATGGTTTTGGGAGGTGTGTGCATGTGCGTGTTTGGGGATGATGGGGAAGAGCAGAAGAACTCTGGGCATTAGCAATAGCTAGACAAGCTCAGAAGTAATACAGGAGATTATAAAGGCATTGTAAGGAGCAAAACACAATAGAAAGCCAGGTGGGTCAAGGTTTGGCAGGAAAGATGTGGGCAGTGGAGGCTGTAGCAGTCACCAGGAGCTCTTTGAAGGCCAGGAAGGAAAGCATCATTAACATGTGAAAGAATGACTTTGACTTCCCCACAAGCAGGAGATTCCAGTGGGCCTTGCCTTCTGATGCTGTGATAGGACCCTTTTTTCATCTTTTACCCTGTTTAACTTTCTTGTATAGCAGCTCCAGCAGCAGTCTTAAGATAGTCTCTTAAACTTGGAGTTAACCGGATCTGTTTGCATCACAGCCCCTGAATTTACCCTTCTTATCTGGATATTTCCCACCCCATATTCATGTCACCTACAGATCATTTATCTTAGAAAAAAGAGGAATGGGTGAAATAGTCCACATTATTTGTATCGCACAGTGCAATACAAATCTTTTTGTACAGGGCAGTCTTTTAATGAAGGTTACTTAAACCAAACAACCATGAGTGGCAGGGGATATACGTTCCCAAATGTAGAGAGGAAAAAAAACAATTAACTTGACTTTTTCCAAAAACCAAAATGAATCCCAGAGTTTTGCCCCATGAAGACTAGTGGGCCATAGTTTGACATTTAGCCATTTTGTTGATACTATGTCAGCTGTTAAAAAACCAAAAAACTACACAATGGAGATCTTAATGCTCAAAGATTCCATTAGGTGGCAGTCAGGATACATCTTTTGATGTCCAATCCCCCCACCCCCACCCCCTCCAGCCTCAGGGAAGGAATATTGCCAGGCAGCGTGAAGGGGAGAGAGGAGCAGGGGAAAAACAAACATACCCAAAAAAATATGGCTTGCAGTATCCAAATGATAAAGACTGCAAGTTATCTGTGCTGAACTTCCATTTTGGTTCTAATATAGATGTGTTTGATTGTCCTTGCTGTGATTTCCTCTTTTATAAATTCTTTTATATCTAAAGCCCTTTATAGACCACTTGTATGCTCTTTACATCTCTGTGTTATTAGTCTTAGAGCAGAAGTTGGAAGTGTGGCTCATTTTATTCAAGACCTATAAACATTCAGGGGACTTTTGTAGTGACACCCTCATGCTCTATTACTGCTCTTGAAAGGCTCCCGGTGGAGCTGGTTGGCTTTGTACATTGGGTTTCATGGGGAAAGGACTCTAAGATTTCTGTGCAAGAGGTGTTTGGAGAGTGCCCTTGGGAACGTCACCTGTGAGGGTTGATGGGCAGGACTGGACAGATGAAGAAGGTGAACTGTTATGCGGTTGCAACAGGGGCCTTAATCAGTCCTATAGGGAGCTCTGGAACTGGGATGGCCCTTCCGTATCTGAGATGCCCCTGTCCCTTAAGTCAAGGGGCCA